GCTGCGAGGACAAATCTGGGGACAAACATAGGGAGGTGCTCTGAAAGCCCAGAGGCTTGTGCAGGCATGGCTTGAGAAAAGGAGAAGGATGTTGGGAGGCTGAGTGGGGCTGAGGGTGGAGAGCATGGAGGGAAGTCCCCCTGGGAGCTCCTGGCCCCATGGACAGAGACTACTTTGTTGGGGGTCATTTCATCTCCCCATTTCAAAGGCTGGCAGGCAGGGGAGGAGAGGGAAAAGCAACTGTGGGGTGGTTTGGGGCTGGACACTGATGGGAAGAGGTGGAGACTGGGACTGGAGAGAGAAGAGAGGTCTGAGTGGGGGGACAGGGTCAGCTGAGGAGGGGGGAGAAGGAGTGGAGTGAAGCCAGAGGTCAGGGCACAGGCACCCTCGCTGAGGGTGGGGAGAGGGAGCAGATCAGGCTGGAAGGGACTGGGAGGGCTGGATGGGGCTGGTGGCCTCTCCTTCAGCCTTTGGGGGTGTAGCAGGTGGACCTCACACTGACCCTCTGCTCCAGCAGGTGTGGGTTTCACAGCAGAAAAAAAAAAAAGACAAAATATCTGGAAATAAAATCCAGAGGCTGGAAAATGCTACTTCCCTGAGTAGCAGACCCCAGGACCCATGGGGCAGCAGGGTCCCTCCAGCCCCTGGTCCAGGGGTGCTGTGCAGGACCGAGGGGTGTCAGCACCCCACTGACCCGGTTTCCCTCCTTCCCTCCCCTCTGCAGCTCCTGGGTGACATCCTGATCATCGTCCTGGCCGCCCACTTCGGAAAGGACTTCGGCCCCTCCTGCCAGGCCACCTGGCAGAAGCTGGTGGGGGTGGTGGCCCACGCCCTGGCCCACAAGTACCACTAAACCCTTGGGACACGAGCAGCTGTGTCTGTACCGGGCAATAAACCCCACATCTTCTGGAATTCTCTGTGTTCGGTGTCTCTGTGGCTGCTGCAGGGTGGGCAGGAGGGAGGGGCAGGAAAGGGAGATGGGGGCTCTGGGTGATGGAGCAGCACAGACTGGGGAGGCAGCCAGGCTGGGCACAGGGAGCCAGGCTGGGCACAGGGAGCTGGGCAGAGGGAGCCAGGCTGGGCAGA